CATCCCGACCCTGATGAGATGTTGACTACCTCGCCTGGTACGCAGGAGGTCGTGGGTTCCATCCCGACCCTGATGAGATGTTGACTACCTCGCCTGGTACGCAGGAGGTCGTGGGCTCGATCCCGACCCTGACGATGCCTGCTGCTGCTGCTGTATATTTGGAGTCTGCATCTCTCTCCCTCTCTCTCTCCCCATAATTTTTGGGGATTTTTCTCCGGGTCCTCCTGTTCATTCCCTCCACATTGAGTCAGCGTCACGCAATTTAGAGTCGTTTGGCTGCTGCTGATACTTGTCCACGTGATGACGATGACTGAACGGGCGTGGCACGGGCTAGAGAAGAGATGGAGTGACGTGGTACAGCAGGACGTGGAGCTGAGTGGACTTGCCGATGACTGGTACCAGCGGTGTCAAGATCGTCCTCTGTGGAGGAGGCTCGTGAAGGACGCTACTGGGCAGTTGGAGGCAGTCGCCCTCCAGAAATAACAACGGAGGGCGGAGGAGCGATGCTCATAACAACGAGCGGAGCGCCGGGTGGCTAAAGCACAGCAAGTTGGCACAGCAGGGGGCACAGGTGGTGCATCAGCCACTCATCTCAGTCATCTCAGTCGGTCGACCCGTGGCACCTGCTGGGTCTGCCCCATGACCTCCTGCCATCGAGAGATTGACACTTCACGTGACCTCAACGTGCACCTAGCCTGGCACAGGCCCCGTGGTGACATCACTGCCACTTAGAGGCGAATGGCGGTTGTTGTTTTTGTTGGGTGGTGGTGGTGATGGCGGTGGTGGTGGGGAGTGGTGGTGCAGCGGTTAGCGCTACGCTGCGCTACGAACCCGGTGACTCGAGTTTGATTCCCGCTCACGGCCACCAACACCGCCGGTGACGATTATCTGAACCGGCCCTGGGCCTCCCTTAGGTCGACTCGGCCTCAAATGAGTGCCTGGTGCGATGTGTAGTAAACATCGCCACTAGGGAGACAAAGGCGGTCGGGCGTGGTGCTGGCTAACTGCACTTGCCCCAACAATCTGTGAAGGTCTTAATTTTAGAACTTTCGTAACTGCAGGAATTATTATTTGGTTCTTTCGGTTAAGTCACGTCTAGACGTGACTTAACCGAAAGAACCAAATAATAATCTGTGAAGGCTTTATGGGGGATCTTGTCTTTGGTGCTGGTGGCGTGGGTGATGGTGGTGGTGGTGGCCGTGATGGTGGTGGCGGTGGTGGTAGTGGCGGAGATGGTGGCGGTGGTTGATGGTGGTGGTGGTTGATGCTGTTGGTGGTTGATTGTGGTGCTGGTGGTTGATGCTGTTGGTGGTGGTGGTGGTTGATGCTGGTGGTGTTGATGCCGTTGGTGGTGCCCCACAGGTACCGCAGGTGGCCCAGGCTCTGTCCAAGGGCGGCTTCCTAAGCGAAGAGGAGAGGGCGGCCACCGTCGCTGCTGCGGCCGCCACCGTCACCGTCACCGCCACCGTCACCGTCACCGTCACCGGCACCGGCACCGGCACGGGGGCCACGGGGGTCACGGGGGTCACGGGGGCCACGGGGGCTGGCGCCGCCGCGGTGAACAAGCTCATCCTGAGGGCGCTGGCGCGGGGCGGCGAGGAGGAGTGCGGCCTGCTGCTAGCGCACGCAGGCCTCGTCTGATCCAGCGCGTGTGCCACCAACCCCAATCCCAGGCTACCCCGAGTCTCTCTAGACCCCGAGTCTCTCTACACCACGAGTCTCTCTAGACCCAGGTGAACCGAGTCTTTGTGAGTCTCTATGGGTCTCTGTGGATCTCTGGGGGCCTCTGGGGGTCTCTATGGGTCTCTGTGGATCTCTGTGGATCTCTGTGGGTCTCTGGGGGTCTCTATGGGTCTCTGTGGATCTCTGGGGGCCTCTGGGGGTCTCTATGGGTCTCTGTGGGCTTTAATGCGTCTCTATGAGCGTGAATCTCTATGGGTCTCTGTGGGACTCTATGAGTCTATGTGGGTCTCTGTGAGTCTCTGTGAGTTTCTATGGATCTCTGTGGGTCTCTGTGAGTCTCTGTGGGTCTCTGTGAGTCTTTGTGAGTCTACGTAGGTCTCTGTGAGTTTCTTTGAGTTTCTATGGGTCTCTGTGGGACTTTATGAGTCTCTATGGGTCTCTGTGAGTCTCTGTGAGTCTCTATGGGTCTCTGTGGGTCTCTGTGGGTCTCTGTGAGTCTCTATGGGTCTCTGTGAGTCTCTGTGAGTCTCTATGGGTCTCTGTGGGTCTCTATGGGTCTCTGTGAGTCTCTGTGGGTCTCTGTGGGTCTCTGTGAGTCTCTGTGGGTCTCTGTGGGTCTCTACTAGTGGGATTTGTCCGGTATTGTTGTGTGTGTATGTCTGGGTGATTTGTTTACTTATGCTGTACTTGCCAATATGATGGTGTGTGTCTGTCAGTGTTTGTTGTTGTTGTTGTGACCCCGTACCCCCTACCTGGACAATCTGTGACAATGAGCTTCATAGCTCACCTGATTCCCTCGTGTCGCAGTCTAAGTGATTTTATAGGATATTTAACCGGCTGGGGCTGTATTAGAATATAAGAATAGCTTCGTATCCTTTCTCTGGCAATTAAACAGCAGTTGTGTTTAAGACAAGGCCGTCATTATAACACATTCCTGCGGAGGGAGCTGGTAGGAACGTTGGGTTGCTCGGTCAATGGCCTGCAGGGTCAACGGCGGCGTGGTGTATTCCGCAAATATGCCCGACTGTGAGGGCGGGCACAAGCCGGCGTGAGTAGGTTAAACGTTGAGTTTTATAAGGGCACCTCGGGGTGACCAGCCCCACCCCACCCAGCCCCACCCCTCCCACCCCCCACCCAGCCCCACCCTCCCCACCCAGCCCCTCCCCCTCCCCACCCAGCCCCTCCCCGCCCTCCCCTCCCAGCCCCTCCCCACCCTCCCCTCCCCACCCAGCCCCACCCTCCCCACCCTCCTCTCCCCACCCAGCCCCTCCCCACCCTCCCCACCCAGCCCCTCCCCACCCTCCCCTCCCCACCCGGCCCCTCCCTCCCCACCCTCCTCTCCCCACCCAGCCCCTCCCCACCCTCCCCACCCAGCCCCACCCTCCCCACCCTCCTCTCCCCACCCAGCCCCTCCCCACCCTCCCCTCCCAGCCCCTCCCCACCCTCCCCTCCCCACCCAGCCCCACCCTCCTCTCCCCACCCAGCCCCTCCCCACCCTCCCCACCCAGCCCCACCCTCCCCACCCTCCTCTCCCCACCCAGCCCCTCCCCACCCTCCCCTCCCAGCCCCTCCCCACCCTCCCCTCCCCACCCAGCCCCACCCTCCTCTCCCCACCCAGCCCCTCCCCACCCTCCCCACCCAGCCCCTCCCCACCCTCCCCTCCCCACCCGGCCCCTCCCTCCCCACCCTTGGCCACAATATCTGGACTTGTCTTCATATAAATAAACGCATAGATGTATCTTTATATGATTGTGGTTGTACTTTATTAATCCCGAATCTCTGTCATTACATACAATGAAACAAGGAATTGTAAAAAAAACGTCAAAACAGAGCAATGAAATACAATACACTCTTAGACATTATTGTACAAAATAAAATAAAAAGTCCATCCCATGTGTTGGTGAATTTTTAAAAATATTTTTACGCAGCAAATGGCAGGAAATGAGTTTAAAAGTTTGATTTTTTTCTGGGTTTTTTGGGGGGTTGGGCCCATTATTGTACAAAATAAAATAAAAAGTCCATCCCGTGTGTTGGTGAATTTTTAAAAATATTTTTACGCAGCAAATGGCAGGAAATGAGTTTAAAATTTAGATTTTTTTATGGGTTTTTGGGGGGTTGGGCCCCCCACACCCCCTGGAAGATTTGCCCCCCCCCCCCAATGTTGTTGACTCCGTGGCTACGGCCTTGAAGACGTTCAAACACCACAGTAGACACCCATTGTAAGGCGTCATCAGGGGTCTGCGTTAACCGCGCGCACACAACACTGGTGGCGAACACGCGAACGCGCGTGGCTCTGAAAATAATCATCGTCACCATGATGATGATGTTAGAGGCATTGACTTTGAGACTGAATCTACGTCGTGACGTCATCACGCAACTCAGCTACAGCGAACTCAGAAGGGAGTCTGCGTGATGACGTCATCACGCAACTCAGCTGCAGCGAGTCCAACCGGAATTTACGTCGTGACGTCATCACGCAACTCAGCTGGAGCGAACTCAGAAGGGAGTCTGCGTGATGACGTCATCACGCAACTCAGCTGCAGCGAGTCCAACCGGATTTTACGTCGTGACGTCATCACGCAACTCAGCTGCAGTGAGTCCAACTGTAATTTACGTCGTGACGTCATCACGCAACTCAGCTGCAACGAGTCCAACTGGAATCTACGTCGTGACGTCATCACGCAACTCAGCTGCAGCTATTCCAACCGGAATTTACGTCGTGACGTCATCACGCAACTCAGCTGCAACGAGTCCAACCGGAATTTACGTCGTGACGTCATCACGCAACTCAGCTGCCGCGAACTCAAAAGGGAGGTTGCGTGGTGACGTCACCACGCAAAGCCAGCCGCTACGAACCAAACCCAAATCTGTGCAGTGACGTCACCACGCAAAGCCAGCCGCTGTGAGCCGAACCTAAATCTGCGCAGTGACGTCACCGCGCAACCCAAACAGAGGGGGGAAGTCTGCGTGGTGACGTCACCGCGCAAACCCAGCCGCTGCGATCCCAACCCAAATCTGCGCGGTGACGTCACCACGCAACCCAAACAGAGTGGGAAGTCTGCGTGGTGACGTCACCGCGCAAACCCAGCCGCTGCGATCCCAACCCAAATCTGCGCGGTGACGTCACCACGCAACCCAAACAGAGTGGGAAGTCTGCGTGGTGACGTCACCGCGCAAACCCAGCCGCTGCGATCTCAACCCAAATCTGCGCGGTGACGTCACCGCGCAACCCAAACAGAGGTGGGAAGTCTGCGTGGTGACGTCACCGAGACGACGTCACCGGCGTGTTGGGGGAGTCGAGATCACTTCCCCCTCCCTCCCTCCCTCCTCCACCTCCACAAACTTCACAGCAAATAGAAACATTGAGAGAGGACGCGGCCGCTTCACACAAACAAACAACAACACCCTCGTACGATGGCCGCTGCTGCTGCTACAGCGACGACGACGCTGCTGTGCGTGCTAGCGCTGGGCCAGGCGTTCTACCTCCCGGGTCTCGCCCCCGTCAGCTTCTGCGAGAAGGCCGAGGAGCACCTCAACTGTCAGGTAGGCTCGTCAGGCCCACGCCGAGGCTTCGGCCTAAACTCCCTTCGGTCTTTTTTTTTTCTTCTTCTTCTTGTTTCCCTTCGTCCGTCGCGAAGTTTGAACGCGCTGTTGTTGTTGTTATTGTTGTTGTTGATATTGTTGTTGTTGTCGTCGTCGTTATTGTTTGACGCTATAACGCCGCGCTCTCTCGTCGTATTTTTTTTCCCTTTTCGGAGTCTTTAATGCGGCAGAGTAGGCCAAATACACAGTGCGGAGTTGTGTGTGGTGGAGTTCCACTGGTGGAGCTCCACTTGGGCAGCTTCACTGGTGGAGCTCGTGTGGTGGAGGTCGTGTGGTGGAGCTTCACTGGTGGAGCTCGTGTTGTGGAGGTCGTGTGGTGGAGCTTCACTGGTGGAGCTCGTGTGGTGGAGGTCGTGTGGTGGAGCTTCACTGGTGGAGCTCGTGTGGTGGAGGTCGTGTGGTGGAGCTCCGCTGTGAAGCTCCACCGGTGGAGCTCGCGTGGTGGAGCTCCGCCGGTGGAGCTCCGCCGGTGGAGCTCGTGTGTGGTGGAGCTCCACTGGTGGAGCTTCACTGGTGGAGCTCGTGTGTGGTGGAGCTCTACTGGTGGAGCTCCACTGGTGGAGCTCGTTTGGTGGAGCTTCACTGGTGGAGCTCCACTGGTGGAGCTCGCGTGGTGGAGCTCGTGTGTGGTGGAGCTCGTGTGTGGTGGAGCTTGAACACACACCGGTGGGCTAAAGTTGTGAACTATTCTGTCTTCTGTCAACGTGACACTTTGTTGAATGATTGGCCGTGTCGGGTGGTGGAGGGTTGCGACACATTTATACTGAACGCGATCTAACCCACAAACCTTTATCATGAATGATACTGGTCACCCAAGCCTACGTATCATCATCTCTTTAATCACCATCATCATCATCTCGATCACCATCATCATTGTTTTCACCACCACCATCATCATCATCATCATTTCTATCACAACATCAATATCATCTCTCTCACCATCATCTCTTTCACCATCATCATTTTAACACCACCATCATCGTCATCGTCGCCCTCGCAAAAGAGGGTTTTAACCTCAAGGGGTTTTTTGTGTTAACCTGGTTAGATGAAGGTGAAATACACCTGATGATGGACACTTGTGTTGCGCCCGAAATGTCGTGATTTATTTTATTTTATACCTACGTGACTTTACCGAAAGAACCAAAGAGTATACAATAAAATATTTTCATAACCACCACCATCATCTCCACCACCATCATCTCCACCACCATCATCTCCACCACCATCATCTCCACCACCACCATCACCTCCACCACCACCATCACCTCCACCATCGGCATCACCACCGCCATCACCACTGCCATCATCACCACCATCATCACCACCATCATCTCCACCACCACCATCACCTCCAACACCGCCATCACCACCATCACCACCACCATCACCTCCAACACCGCCATCACCACCATCACCACCACCACCATCACCACCATCACCACCACCACCATCACCATCCCCACCATCACCACCACCATCATCACCACCACCATCACCATCCCCACCATCACCACCATCATCACCACGACCACCACCATCACCATCCCCACCATCACCACCATCACCTCCACCATCACCACCACCATCGCCATCCCCACCACCATCCCCACCACCATCACCACCATCACCACTACCACCATCACCACCACCACCACGTGCGTGACCTCTGCTGTAAGTGTGTCGCCCCTCTCTGTGCGTGTCCCAGTCCACCATCGAGCTCTACATGAACCGCCTGGACTCGGTGGAGTCTGTGCTGCCCTACGAGTACAACGCGTGAGTACTCGCTCACGTACTCACACTCACTCACGTACTCACTCACTCGTACTCACACTCACTCACGTACTCACTCACGTAATCTCACACGTACTCACTCACGCACTCTCACACGTACTCTCACACGCACTCTCACACGCATTCACACTCACTCGCGTACTCACTCACGTACTCACACGCACGCACTCACTCGTACTCACACGCACGCACTCACACGTACTCACGCACTCACACACACTCACACGCACTCACAAACATGTACCCACACACAAAGACAAAGACCCCCTGTAGAGCCTTAACAGACTGTTGGGGCAAGTGCTGCTACTCGCAACTACCAACAGCACTTGCCCCGCCATCCCGTGAGAGGCTACACGGGGGATCTTTGTCTCGTAACACTGACTCCCCCCCCCCCCGGCCTCTCTCCCGTCGGCGTGTGGTCTAGGTTCGACTTCTGCAAGGCGCCCGAAAGCAAACAGAGACCCACGGAGAACCTGGGCCAGGTGCTGTTCGGTGAGAGGATAGAGCCCTCGCCGTACAAGGTGCGTGGTGGCCACGTGGTCTCATGGCTCGCCGGGGTGGGGGGTGGGGGGGGCTCGCACACCAGCCCCGCAGAGGGGGCCCGGGTTCGATTCCTGAGTCTGTGTGGTGTGTGTGAGTGTGTCACTGTGTCACTGTGTGTGTGTCACTGTGTGTGAGTCTGTGTGTGGTGTGTGAGTGTGTCTCACTGTGTCACTGTGTGTGTCACTGTGTTTGTGTCACTGTGTGTGTGTGTCACTGTGTGTGTGTGTCACTGTGTGTCACTGTGTGTGTCTGTGTCACTGTGTGTGTGTGTCACTGTGTGTGTCTGTGTGTGTGTCACTGTGTGTGAGTCTGTGTGTGGTGTGTGAGTGTGTCTCACTGTGTCACTGTGTGTATCTCTGTGTGTGTGTGTCTGTCTCTGTGTGTGTGTCTGTGTGTGTGTCTGTGTGAGTGTGTCACTGTGTTTGCGTGTGTGTCTGTCAACACTTCACGTGGCCTCAAGGTGCACTTGGCCTGGCACAAGCGTCGTGGTGACGTCACCGTCACTTAGTGGCGAATGGCGGTTGTTGTTGTTGTTGTGTGTCTGTGTGAGTGAGACTGTGTGCGTGACTCATCATAGACGCTGCTGCTTCTCGCTACTAACAGCACTTGCCCCTACAGCCTGTTAGAGGCTACACAGGGGATCTTTGTCTGTGTATAGGTGTTGCTGCTACTCGCTACTAACAGTACTTGCCCCTACAGCCTGTTAGAGGCTACACGGGGGATCTTTGTCTGTGTATAGGTGCTGCTGCTACTCGCTACTAACAGCACTTGCCCCTACAGCCTGTTAGAGGCTACACGGGGGATCTTTGTCTGTGTATAGGTGCTGCTGCTACTCGCTACTAACAGCACTTGCCCCTACAGTCTGCTAGAGGCTACATGGGTGACCTTTGCCTGTGTGCAGGTGACGTTCAAGGAGGAGACGGCGTGTGCCGTCCTGTGCGAGCCCAAGGTGTACGAGCCGGGCTCCGCCGATGACCAGGCCAGCCTGGACTTCCTCAAGAAGGCCATGCACTTCAACTACCAGCACCACTGGTATCCCCTCCATCATCACCATCGTCACCATCATCATCACCATCGTCATCACCATCGTCATCATCATCGCCATCATCATCACCATCATCATCACTACAACCACTTCAACTACCAGCACCACTGGTATCTCCATCATCACCATCATCATCACCATCGTCATCACCATCGTCATCATCATCGCCATCATCATCACCATCATCATCACTACAACCACTTCAACTACCAGCACCACTGGTATCTCCATCATCACCATCATCACCATCATCACCATCATCACCATCATCATCACCATCATCATCACCATCATCATCATCATCGCCATCATCATCATCACCATCATTATCATCACCATCATTATTACCATCATCATCACCATCATCACTACAACCACTTCAACTACCAGCACCACTGGTATCTCCTCCATCACCGCCACCACCATCAGCATCACCACCACCATCAGCATCACCATCACCACCATCACCATCCTCATCAGTGTGCCTGTGTGTGTGTGCGATAGTAGACTGTCCGTGATGTGGTGTCTCTTGTGTTGCCTGTGTGTGTGACTGTGTGTGTGTGTGACTGTGTGTGTGTGTGACTGTGTGTGTGTGACTGTGTGTGTGTGTGACTGTGTGTGTGACTGTGTGTGTGTGTGACTGTGTGTGTGTGTGACTGTGTGTGTGTGCGTGACTGTGTGTGTGTGTGACTGTGTGTGTGTGTGACTGTGTGTGTGACTGTGTGTGTGTGTGACTGTGTGTGTGTGATTGTGTGTGTGTGTGACTGTGTGTGTGTGTGACTGTGTGTGTGTGACTGTGTGTGTGACTGTGTGTGTGTGACTGTTGTGTGACTGTGTGTGTGTGACTGTGTGTGTGTGTGACTGTGTGTGTGTGTGACTGTGTGTGTGTGTGACTGTGTGTGTGTGTGACTGTGTGTGTGTGTGACTGTGTGTGTGTGTGTGACTGTGTGTGTGTGTGACTGTGTGTGTGTGTTGCCTGTGTGTGCGTGACTGTGTGTGTGTGTGACTGTGTGTGTGTGACTGTGTGTGTGTGTTGCCTGTGTGTGCGTGACTGTGTGTGTGTGTGACTGTGTGTGTGTGTGACTGTGTGTGTGTGTGACTGTGTGTGTGTGTGACTGTGTGTGTGTGTGACTGTGTGTGTGCGTGACTGTGTGTGTGCGTGACTGTGTGTGTGCGTGACTGTGTGTGTGCGTGACTGTATGTGTGCGTGACTGTGTGTGTGCGTGACTGTGTATGTGTGTGACTGTGTGTGTGTGTGACTGTGTGTGTGTGTGACTGTGTGTGTGTGTGACTGTGTGTGTGACTGTGTGTGTGTGTGACTGTGTGTGTGTGTGTGTGACTGTGTGTGTGTGCGTGACTGTGTGTGTGTGCGTGACTGTGTGTGTGTGTGACTGTGTGTGTGTGTGACTGTGTGTGCGTGACTGTGTGTGTGTGTGACTGTGTGTGTGTGAGACTGTGTGTGTGCGTGACTGTGTGTGTGCGTGACTGTGTGTGTGCGTGACTGTGTGTGCGTGACTGTGTGTACGTGTGACTGTGTGTACGTGTGACTGTGTGTACGTGTGACTGAGTGTACGTGTGACTGAGTGTACGTGTGACTGTGTGTACGTGTGACTGTGTGTACGTGTGACTGTGTGTGTGTGTGTCTGTGTGTGTGTGACTGTGTGTGCGTGTGACTGTGTGTGTGACTGTGTGTGCGTGTGACTGTGTGTGTGAAACTGTGTGTGCGTGTGACTGTGTGTGTGTCTGTGTGTGCGTGCTGCCTGTAAGGTCGTGGACAACATGCCGCTGGCGTGGTGTGTGTGTGTGTGATTCTTGTGTGTGTGATTCTTGTGTGTGTGTGTGATTCTGGTGTGTGTGTGACTGTGTGACTGTGTGTGTGTGTGTGTGCGCGGTGTATGTGTGTGACTGTGTCTGTGTGTGACTGTGTGTGTGTGCGGCGTGTGTGTGTGACTGTGTGTGTCTGTGTGACTGTGTGTCTGTGTATCTGTGTGTGTGTGTGTGTGACTGTGTGTGTGTGTGACTGTGTGTGTGTGTGGTGTGTAGGATTGTAGACAACATGCCGGTGACGTGGTGCTACCACGTGGACGAGGGGAAGCTCTTCTGTAACCCCGGCTTCCCCGTCGGTGTGTGTGTGTGTCTGTGTGTGTGTGACTGTGTGTGTGTGACTGTGTGGTGTGTAGGATTGTTGACAACATGCCGGTGACATGGTGCTACCACGTGGACGAGGGGAAACTCTTCTGTAACCCCGGCTTCCCCGTGGGCTGCTACGTCACTGCCACCGGGCAGCCCAAGGACGCCTGCATCATCAGCGTGAGGAGTACACCACTACCGCTACTAACTACCACTAATAACTACCACTACTAACTACCACTACTAACTACCACTATAACTACTGTAACTACTACTCTAGCAATCACAAGGACGCCTGCATCATCAGCGTGAGGGTTACACCACTACTAACTACCACTACTAACTACCACTACTAACTACCACTACTAACTACCACTACTAACTACCACTATAACTACTGTAACTACTACTCTAGCAATCACAAGGACGCCTGCATCATCAGCGTGAGGGTTACACCACTACTAACTACCACTACTAACTACCACTACTAACTACCACTACTAACTACCACTACTAACTACCACTACTAACTACCACTACTAACTACCACTACTAACTACCACTACTACCACTATGACTACTGTAACTACTACTCTAGCAATCACAAGGACGCCTGCATCATCAGCGTGAGGGTTACACCACTACTAACTACCACTACTAACTACCACTACTAACTACCACTACTAACTACCACTACTAACTACCACTACTAACTACAACTACTAACTACCGCTACTAACTACCGCTACTAACTACCACTACTAACTAGCACTAACTACCACTACTAACTACCACTACTAACTACCACTATAACTACTGTAACTACTACTCTAGCAATCACAAGGACGCCTGCATCATCAGCGTGAGGGTTACACCACTACTAACTACCACTACTAACTACCACTACTAACTACCACTACTGTGTTACTACTACTGTGTTACTACTACTACCTCTGTGTTACTACCTCTGTGTTACTACTACTACCTCTGTGTTACTACTACTACCTCTGTGTTACTACTACTACTACTGTGTTACTACTACTACCACTGTGTTACTACTACTCCCTCTGTGTTACTACTACTACCACTGTGTTACTACTACTACCTCTGGTTACTACTACTACCACTGTGTTACTACCTGTGTTACTACTACTACCTCTGTGTTATTACTACTACTACTACTGTGTTACTACTACTACCTCCGTGTTACTACTACTACTGTGTTACTACTACTACCTCTGTGTTACTACTACTACCACTGTGTTACTACTACTACCACTGTGTTACTACTACTACCTCTGTGTTACTACTACTACCACTGTGTTACTACTACTACCTCTGTGTTACTACCACTGTGTTACTACTACTACCTCTGTGTTACTACCACTGAGTTACTACTACTACCACTGTGTTACTACTACTACCTCTGTGTTACTACTACTACCTCTGTGTTACTACTACTACCTCTGTGTTACTACTACTACCACTGTGTTACTACTACTACCTCTGTGTTACTACTACTACCTCTGTGTTACTACTACTACCACTGTGTTACTACTACTACCTCTGTGTTACTACTACTACTACCTCTGTGTTACTACTACTACCTCTGTGTTACTACTACTACTACTGTGTTACTACTACTACCACTGTGTTACTACTACTCTGTGTTACTACTACTACCACTGTGTTACTACTACTACCTCTGGTTACTACTACTACCACTGTGTTACTACCTGTGTTACTACTACTACTACTGTGTTACTACTACTACCACTGTGTTACTACTACTACCACTGTGTTACTACTACTACCACTGTGTTACTACCACTGAGTTACTACTACTACCTCTGTGTTACTACTACTACCTCTGTGTTACTACTACTACCTCTGTGTTACTACTACTACCTCTGTGTTACTACTACTACCTCTGTGTTACTACTACTACCTCTGTGTTACTACTACTACCTCTGTGTTACTACCACTGAGTTACTACTACTACCTCTGTGTTACTACTACTACCTCTGTGTTACTACTACTACCACTGTGTTACTACTACTACCTCTGTGTTACTACTACTACCTCTGTGTTACTACTACTACCACTGTGTTACTACTACTACCTCTGTGTTACTACTACTACCACTGAGTTACTACTACTACCTCTGTGTTACTACTACTACCTCTGTGTTACTACTACTACCACTGTGTTACTACTACTACCTCTGTGTTACTACTACTACCACTGTGTTACTACTACTACCTCTGTGTTACTACTACTACCACTGTGTTACTACTACTACCTCTGTGTTACTACTACTACCACTGTGTTACTACTACTACCACTGTGTTACTACTACTACCACTGTGTTACTACTACTACCACTGTGTTACTACTACTACTACCTCTGTGTTACTACTACTACCACTGTGTTACTACTACTACCACTGTGTTACTACTACTGTGTTACTACTACTACCACTGTGTTACTACAACTACCACTGTGTTACTACTACTACCTCTGTGTTACTACTACTACCTCTGTGTTACTACTACTACCACTGTGTTACTACTACTACCTCTGTGTTACTACTACTACTACCTCTGTGTTACTACTACTACCACTGTGTTACTACTACTACCACTGTGTTACTACTACTACCACTGTGTTACTACTACTACCTCTGTGTTACTACTACTACCACTGTGTTACTACTACTACCTCTGTGTTACTACTACTACCTCTGTGTTACTACTACTACTACTGTGTTACTACTACTACTACCTCTGTGTTACTACTACTACCACTGTGTTACTACTACTACCACTGTGTTACTACTACTACCTCTGTGTTACTACTACTACCTCTGTGTTACTACTACTACCTCTGTGTTACTACTACTACTACTGTGTTACTACTACTACCACTGTGTTACTACTACTACTACCTCTGTGTTACTACTACTACTACCTCTGTGTTACTACTACTGTGTTACTACTACTACTACTACCACTGTGTTACTACTACTACTACCTCTGTGTTACTACTACTGTGTTACTACTACTACCACTGTGTTACTACTACTACCACTGTGTTACTACTACTACCACTGTGTTACTACTACTACCACTGTGTTACTACTACTACCTCTGTGTTACTACTACTACCACTGTGTTACTACTACTACCTCTGTGTTACTACTACTACCACTGTGTTACTACTACTACCTCTGTGTTACTACTACTACTACCTCTGTGTTACTACTACTACCACTGTGTTACTACTACTACCACTGTGTTACTACTACTACCTCTGTGTTACTACTACTACCACTGTGTTACTACTACTACCACTGTGTTACTACTACTACCTCTGTGTTACTACTACTACCTCTGTGTTACTACTACTACCACTGTGTTACTACTACTACCACTGTGTTACTACTACTACCTCTGTGTTACTACTACTACCACTGTGTTACTACTACTACCTCTGTGTTACTACTACTACCACTGTGTTACTACTACTACCTCTGTGTTACTACTACTACCACTGTGTTACTACTACTACCACTGTGTTACTACTACTACTACCTCTGTGTTACTACTACTACCACTGTGTTACTACTACTACCACTGTGTTACTACTACTGTGTTACTACTACTACCACTGTGTTACTACAACTACCACTGTGTTACTACTACTACCTCTGTGTTACTACTACTACCTCTGTGTTACTACTACTACCACTGTGTTACTACTACTACCCCTGTGTTACTACTACTACTACCTCTGTGTTACTACTACTACCACTGTGTTACTACTACTACCACTGTGTTACTACTACTACCACTGTGTTACTACTACTACCTCTGTGTTACTACTACTACCACTGTGTTACTACTACTACCTCTGTGTTACTACTACTACCTCTGTGTTACTACTACTACTACTGTGTTACTACTACTACTACCTCTGTGTTACTACTACTACCACTGTGTTACTACTACTACCACTGTGTTACTACTACTACCTCTGTGTTACTACTACTACCTCTGTGTTACTACTACTACCTCTGTGTTACTACTACTACTACTGTGTTACTACTACTACCACTGTGTTACTACTACTACTACCTCTGTGTTACTACTACTACTACCTCTGTGTTACTACTACTGTGTTACTACTACTACTACTACCACTGTGTTACTACTACTACTACCTCTGTGTTACTACTACTGTGTTACTACTACTACTACTACCACTGTGTTACTACTACTACCACTGTGTTACTACTACTACCACTGTGTTACTACTACTACCACTGTGTTACTACTACTACCACTGTGTTACTACTACTACCTCTGTGTTACTACTACTACCACTGTGTTACTACTACTACCTCTGTGTTACTACTACTACCACTGTGTTACTACTACTACCTCTGTGTTACTACTACTACTACCTCTGTGTTACTACTACTACCACTGTGTTACTACTACTACCACTGTGTTACTACTACTACCTCTGTGTTACTACTACTACCACTGTGTTACTACTACTACCACTGTGTTACTACTACTACCTCTGTGTTACTACTACTACCACTGTGTTACTACTACTACCACTGTGTTACTACTACTACCTCTGTGTTACTACTACTACCTCTGTGTTACTACTACTACCACTGTGTTACTACTACTACCACTGTGTTACTACTACTACCTCTGTGTTACTACTACTACCACTGTGTTACTACTACTACCACTGTGTTACTACTACTACCTCTGTGTTACTACTACTACCTCTGTGTTACTACTACTACCACTGTGTTACTACTACTACCACTGTGTTCCTACTACTACCACTGTGTTACTACTACTACCACTGTGTTACTACTACTACCACTGTGTTACTACTACTACCTCTGTGTTACTACTACTACCTCTGTGTTACTACTACTACCACTGTGTTACTACTACTACCTCTGTGTTACTACTACTACCTCTGTGTTACTACTACTACCTCTGTGTTACTACTACTACCACTGTGTTACTACTACTACCACTGTGTTACTACTACTACCACTGTGTTACTACTACTACCACTGTGTTACTACTACTACCACTGTGTTACTACTACTACCTCTGTGTTACTACTACTACCACTGTGTTACTACTACTGTGTTACTACTACTACTACTACCACTGTGTTACTACAACTACCACTGTGTTACTACTACTACCTCTGTGCTACTACTACTGTGTTACTACTACTACTACCTCTGTGCTACTACTACTACCTCTGTGTTACTACGTCTGTGTTACTGCAGACGGAGTTCAAGGAGCCCGACTCGTTCTACCTCTTCAACCACGTGGACGTGACGCTCTCCTACCACAGCGTTACTACCTCTGTGTTACTACCACTGAGTTACTACTACTGTGTTACTACCTCTGTGTTACTGCAGACGGAGTTCAAGGAGCCCGACTCGTTCTACCTCTTCAACCACGTGGACGTGACGCTCTCCTACCACAGCGGGGCGGCCGAGGGCTGGGAGGGAGCACGCCTCGTGGCGGCCAAGGTGGTGCCACGCAGGTGAGGGGGGGGCTGGGGGGGGGGCTGGGGGGGGGGCTGGGGGGGGGGCTGGGGGGGGGGCTGGGGGGGGGGGCTGGGGAGATCACGGGGGGGGGCTGGGGGGGATCACGGGGGGATCATGGGGGGGGGGGTTGATCACGGGGGAGTGATCATGTGATCATTGGGGGGGGATCACGGGGGAGTGATCATGTGATCATTGGGGGGGGGTCACGGGGGAGTGATCATGTGATCATTGGGGGGGGATCACGGGGGGGGATCATGTGATCATTGGGGGGGGATCACGGGGGAGTGATCATGTGATCATTGGGGGGATCACGGGGGAGTGATCATGTGATCATTGGGGGGGGATCACGGGGGGGGGTCACGGTAGAGTGATCATGTGATCATTGGGGGGGGATCACGGGGGAGTGATCATGTGATCATTGGGGGGGGATCACGGGGGGGGGATCATGTGATCATTGGGAGGGGATCACGGGGGGGGGATCATGTGATCATTGAGGGGGGGATCACAGGGGAGTGATCATGTGATCATTGGGAGGGGATCACGGGGGGGGGATCATGTGATCATTGGGAGGGGATCACGGGGGAGTGATCATGTGATCATTGGGAGGGGATCACGGGGGAGCGATCATGTGATCATTGGGAGGGGATCACGGGGGAGTGATCATGTGATCATTGGGAGGGGATCACGGGGGGGGGATCATGTGATCATTGGGAGGGGATCACGGGGGGGGATCATGTGATCATTGGGAGGGGATCACGGGGGAGCGATCATGTGATCATTGGGGGGGGATCACGGGGGAGTGATCATGTGATCATTGGGAGGGGATCACGGGGGAGTGATCATGTGATCATTGGGAGGGGATCACGGGGGAGTGATCATGTGATCATTGGGAGGGGATCACGGGGGGGGATCATGTGATCATTGGGAGGGGATCACGGGGGAGCGATCATGTGATCATTGAGGGGGGGATCACAGGGGAGTGATCATGTGATCATTGGGAGGGGATCACGGGGGAGCGATCATGTGATCATTGGGGGGGGATCACGGGGGAGTGATCATGTGATCATTGAGGGGGGGATCACAGGGGAGTGATCATGTGATCATTGGGAGGGGATCACGGGGGGGGGATCATGTGATCATTGGGAGGGGATCACGGGGGGGGGGTCATGTGATCATTGGGGGGGGATCACGGGAGAGCGATCATGTGATCATTGGGGGGGGATCACGGGGGGGGTGATCATGTGATCATTGGGGGGGGATCACGGGGGAGCGATCATGTGATCATTGAGGAGGGGATCACGGGGGGGGGATCATGTGATCATTGAGGGGGATCACGAGGGGGTGATCATGTGATCATTGGGGGGGGATCACGGGGGAGTGATCATGTGATCATTGAGGGGGGGATCACGGGGGAGTGATCATGTGATCATTGGGGAGGGATCACGGGGGAGTGATCATGTGATCATTGAGGGGGGATCACGGGGGGGTGATCATGTGATCAATGAGGGGGGATCACGGGGGAGTGATCATGTGATCATTGGGAGGGGATCACGGGGGAGTGATCATGTGATCATTGGGAGGGGATCACGGGGGGGTGATCATGTGATCATTGAGGGGGGATCACGGGGGGCTGATCATGTGATCATTGGGGGGGATCACGGGGGAGTGATCATGTGATCATTGAGGGGGGATCACGGGGGAGTGATCATGTGATCATTGGGGGGGGATCACGGGGGGGGGGGATCACAGGGGAGTGATCATGTGATCATTGGGGGGGGATCACGGGGGAGTGATCATGTGATCATTGAGGGGGGATCACGGGGGGGGGATCACAGGGGAGTGATCATGTGATCATTGGGGGGGGATCAGGGGGGGGTGATCATGTGATCATTGGGGGGGATCACGAGGGAGTGATCATGTGATCATTGGGGGGGGATCACGGGGGAGTGATCATGTGATCATTGAGGCGGGGATCACGAGGGAGTGATCATGTGATCATTGAGGGGGGATCACGGGGGGGTGATCATGTGATCATTGAGGGGGGATCGCGGGGGAGGGATCATGTGATCATTGAGGGGGGATCATGGGGGAGTGATCATGTGATCATTGAGGGGGGATCACGGGGGAGTGATCATGTGATCATTGAGGGGGGATCACGGGGGAGTGATCATGTGATCATTGAGGGGGGATCACGGGGGAGTGATCATGTGATCATTGGGATGGGGGATCACAGGGGAGTGATCATGTGATCATTGGGGGGGATCATGTGATCATTGAGGGGGATCACGGGGGAGTGATCATGTGCTCATTGGGGGGGGGATCACGGGGGAGTGATCATGTGATCATTGGGGGGGATCACGGGGGGGGATCATGTGATCATTGGGGGGGGGATCACGGGGGAGTGATCATGTGATCATTGGGGGGGGATCACGGGGGGGGATCATGTGATCATTGAGGGGGGATCACGGGGGAGTGATCATGTGATCATTGAGGGGGGATCACGGGGGGGTGATCATGTGATCATTGAGGGGGATCACGGGGGAGTGATCATGTGATCATTGGGGGGGGATCACAGGGGAGTGATCATGTGATCATTGAGGGGGGATCACGGGGGGGGATCATGTGATCATTGAGGGGGATCACGGGGGAGTGATCATGTGATCATTGGGGGGGGATCACAGGGGAGTGATCATGTGATCATTGAGGGGGGATCACGGGGGGGGATCATGTGATCATTGAGGGGGGATCACGGGGGAGTGATCATGTGATCATTGAGGGGGGATCACGGGGGGGTGATCATGTGATCATTGAGGGGGGATCACGGGGGAGTGATCATGTGATCATTGGGGGGGGATCACAGGGGAGTGATCATGTGATCATTGAGGGGGGATCACGGGGGGGGATCATGTGATCATTGAGGGGGATCACGGGGGAGTGATCATGTGATCATTGGGGGGGGATCACAGGGGAGTGATCATGTGATCATTGAGGGGGGATCACGGGGGGGGATCATGTGATCATTGAGGGGGATCACGGGGGAGTGATCATGTGATCATTGGGGGGGGATCACAGGGCGGGGGATCACGGGGGGGTATCCCCCTTCTGTTGCCACCACCACCACGGCTGCTGTGAGTGGTGCAGTTGTTGTTGACGTGGTTTCTGATGTTGTGGTCTTTGTTGTAGCTGTTGTTGATGTGGTTTCTGATGTTGTGGTCGTTGTTGTTGATGTGGTTGTGGTGGTTGTTGACGTGGTTGTGGTGGTTGTTGACGTGGTTGTGGTGGTTGTGCAGCATCAAGCACGCGGTGAATGAGAAGCCGACCTGCACCGGGCCTCCACTCTCCATCCCGCAGAGCGGCAAGGAGCGCGTGACAGTGCTGTACACGTACTCCATCTCCTTCGTGGTGCGTCCCCTACCACCGTCATCACCACCATCACCATCATCACCACCACCGCCACCATCGCCACCATCATCGCCACCATCACCATCACCACCATCATCACCACCACCGCCACCATCATCATCATCACCATCATCACCACCATCATCACCACCATCACCATCATCACCATCATCACCACCACCGCCACCATCGCCACCATCATCGCCACCATCACCATCACCACCATCATCACCACCACCGCCACCATCATCATCATCACCATCATCGCCATCATCACCATCATCACCATCATCATCACATCATCATCACCATCATCACCATCATCACCATCGCCACCATCATCGCCACCACCACCATCATCACCACCACCATCGCCACCATCATCACCACCATCACCACCATCACCACCATCATCACCACCATCATCACCACCACGGCGCGGGTGCCGATATGTACTATGTTTTCTCGTGCGCCCGC